GGAGGACGAATCATTAAAAACAGAAACGTGTTTTCTCTCTCTCGACTCACAGAGCCCACAGTAGAAACGTTTCCTATCGCCTGTATTTGTGATCGTTAGCCCTGGCGTAAATCGGATCCAGTTCCCCCCCCACCCACAAACAAACATGTATGCACATGTTCTCACCAATATTGACTCAAAACACTTACCGGTGCTCTTTTTTGCACGGATACGCCTGTTTCGTTAACAAGTGTCAGTTTTGGAATGCGTTAAATGCATGAAGCTATGGTGGTGTAAAGCGCCCCCATGAACCTGGTCTCTTGCCAAACCGTATACGTTTTCAACGCACACTTGCAATCATCATCATCATCCTCTATCAGCTTCTCTTTTGGTCCAGTGATCTCAGCTTGCCTGAAATTGCAGGAATTCAACATTCCACGGGCAACTTCGGCTCCCATTTTTGGCTTAGGACCAAAGTTCTGTCTTCAGAAAGCAGCTGCCAAGCCGCTACTGTGTTGAGGTTGTGGCAGATGCCACTGCGGATTACGTATGGGCTCTTAAGACCTACGCCTATGACCAAATCACCTGGAATGTGTCCGATTTCATCAGATCTCAGACGTGAAGCAGCTAGTTTAGGTGCCTGGATGGGCAGCCATCATGCACAGTAGGTTGCTATAGGCTTTTGGGCTATGTGGCTAGCAGCAGAGTGCAGTGCGGTAACATTCGTTGTTGTACTGTACTTCTATGCCCCCTGTTTATGCTCCGGGGTATTCACCAACCTCTTACTGACCAGCGTGTTAATATATGGTTAAATGCCCCTAATGACCCATGTGGTGTGGGGAGGCCCCCACTTGTCCAGCAACGGACTGACGAAAAACCGCACGTGGTACGCTGGCGACCTTGTTGTGTTTAGCAAATAAACATGATCTAAAGCGTCTTGTACGCACGTTTAGCAAGACTATATCTGCTTTGCTTCACTTTCACCAGTTGAATAGTTGGGGGACCTTGCACACTATCCAGAAATGCAGTCACCCATTATATTCAAAGTTTATGCTTTGCTTTGAAATGGACATTGGCAAGAGCGGCCCATTGTGCGTGTGTGCACGTCTCTTTGTACACGCATTTACTGAGCAAAAAAAAAAACATGCGTTCGGCTCCAGAGTCACTGAGGAATACATTAGAACGTTGGTTTATAGATGTTGTGCTCATGCACGCAATGACAAAAGCCAGTGCAGGGACTTGTACAGAGTCATACAGACCGCAAGTTTTATTAGCAACACACAATAAAAAAAACACGACCGGCACAGCAGATGAAGGGGTGGTTGTGGCCAGCTCCATGAACATCTGTATGTCTGGCACTGAAATGTATGCACACCACACCAAAGTATTTGTTTAAACCCGAGTCAAGCTATGGTAGAACCAGGAGAGCGTGTCATATCACTTGCCCACTTATGTCACCCTTGGCCAGGAAGCAAAGTAGGTTTGAGCATGGATAGGAGACCACCTCTCACAGGTGGGCTATGCGGATCAGTGTACAATTGAGAGATAAAGATTCCCCCATGGCCTGTAACAGGAGGCCTGCCTCGGCGTGATGGATTGTGACACCTGGAGGAAAATTCTAAACGGCCCCATTGATGGTTTAGCGACTACCGCTGCTATAACAGACGGTCGGGCAAGTGTGGTTTGCGAGCGCCTCAAAATACACCCGCACGCACGCACGCACACATGCATGTGCACGGTTATCTGAGATTTGCAATGACATTTCAGTTGCACAAGTGCTTGGATTAAATCCCGCTGTGTTATGGCTTGTCTGTTGCCCAACTTCGCCCTGTTATGTCAATCCCTCCGCAGGTGTTCCTATGAAATCACCACCCCTTACTTCTAGAACTGCTGTGGCCTTCTCTGCAATAGTTTGTTGAATGACAGTCATACTTTTCTTTGAACAAACATAGCCGGTGTATTGTCTGTGTGAAGTCTGAAGACAACGTTCCTTAGACATTGTCTTAAAAAAATACGAGCTATATTGAAACTTAGATATAATATTTTTCAGCCGTTGTGAATCCCACTGTTGATTGCGCTGTGGTGGCAAGATGTTAACTATCTCATGAGGTATACAGGAGGTCATGGGTTCAATCCTAACCCTGATGCCTGCTGTATATTTGGAATTTAAATGTTCTACCCGTGGTTCAATTGGATTTTTCTGTTGGGTCCTCCGGTTTTTCCTTCTACAATTAGAAATAAGTGTTTAAAGTATTTGTCTGCTATAAATTTCCACATGATAAGCCACTTTGTTGAGCTATCATTTGTGGCCAGGTCGCTTCTGAAAAAGAGCTATATAGCTCACTGGGCCTTACCTGGTCAAACAAAAAATCGTTCACAGAATGAAGGCTTCCCTTTGTCGTGGGGGGGGGGGGGGGGGGGTTAAACCATACTTCACCATGCTGGTCAGTGTCGGTTGAATGAGGGGGTCCAGGACCGGTTTAGATATCGCTCACCACTGGTGTTAACCATGGTTGGGAATTGAACATCGGCCACCATGTTGTCCTATACACTCTGTGCTAACCGCTCTATATGATAAGTTAGTTGCGTGTGTGAGTTCGTATTCGGGTGTATTTGTTTTATATCCACAGTATGTGATATTCAAGTATTCATTTTGTATTTTAGTAAATGTCACAATGTGTTTTAAAATAACTGGTCATGGATGTTTTTTTTATGGATTTCAGCTACAATTTTAGTTGCTGATGAGAGAAATAACTACATTAACGCTGTAACAGGATTCTATGTACAAATAATAACATGATGTTATGATCAATTATGCAGACGTGAATGATTAACTTAGTAGTGGCGATCTTAGATATCTTGTGTGTAATTTTAGAATGGTTGTATGGCTTCCAAATGAATAAATTACCTGATTGCTGCATTGCCAGTAATATGCAGCTTTGTAATTATTGCTTTATGAAATATAGCTATTACCGTAATGTTTACCATGAAGTAACACCGGGTGTGCTGAACTAGAAAGGAATTGGAAAGGAATTTACGTGGCACACCTTACTAATTGGCTGTGTCGGGTGGTGGCCGGTTTAGCGACAAATTTATATTAACCCGTTCTAACCCAAAAAACCTCTATGATGGATAATTATTTTGTTCCATTGCTCATCGTGCATGCTTTTTGGCACAGCAGGAGTTCGGATTTTCCTATTGTTTATTTTTCTAAAAAAGGCAAAATATTTTCGAATCGCACGCAACAATTTAAACACTCTGTTGTCTTATTGTCGGGTATGTACCATGCACCGGGAAATGTGAATACAGCAACATTTACAAGTTAAAAAACACGAGTGTTATCAACAAAATGTTCACTTGTGCCACAATGGTACAGCTGAAAATGTGTCTTTGGTCTGATAATGAAGTTGGTGCTGTATAGCTCTCTGACGTGTTTTCAAATTTGTCACTCGTTATTCCATGTACCAAATGGCGTTATGACATTACACTCCACGTTGCTGGGAGATTTTTCTGGAACTGAAGAACTGAATATTTAGTTCCTGAAGAAGCTTCCAGCCCATGCAGTGTAACGTTGAACATGTTGAACATAATGCCTAGCAACAAAAACACGTCGTATAACTGTTCAGCAACAACCGCACAAACCTACACATTAGTCATTTGCTGCTACTTATCTAAAGCAAAGCAACATCCTGGAATACAATGACGCATCTTAGCAATAAGACTCAATGGGACTTTGTAGGCAAGATGTTGAAAAAGTGGCAATTGTGGTATAAATGTACTGCCCTTGTTGATCAACTGCTGGTGAAGGTCTGCCCAGACCGTTTCAGACGTGGGCTTTATTTGACTGTGCTTCACCATGCTTGGGTGTGTTGGTGTTGGGGGCGACCAGGACAGGTCCAGATCTCACTCGCCACTGATATAAGCCGTGACTTGGGCAGCCGGGTTCATTGTGCGGTGTGCAAAACCAGAAACCGGAAGACTTCCTCACAATTCCGGCAAATCGCCTGATGGAGCTTGTTGTAATCGCCGGCGAAACGTCGTACTCAAATTGTAAATGGCTTTACTCTCCAACGCTCAAGTAGCAACTAATTGGCACGTTTTGTTTACATGACAAACCTGATTAATTGTCTGTGTCGGGTGGTGGTGGGTTAACGACACGATTATACTCACACGATCTAACACAAAAACCTTTTGTTATGAATAAAATTGGTCGCGAAAGCCGATGTGTTAAACTGCAAAAAACTATTTGGCACCGTTCCATCCCAATTGCGGTGTCTTCTTAGCTCCCAACTGTTCGAGACGATGGGGCCGAATGTGGTATAATGTTTAAATTGCGGGCTGCTCGAAAAGTGAACTGCCCACCTGCTCAGATGGCAAAATGATCCTGTAATCTGATACGACCAAATTATTGGGTGTGTCTGTGTGCTGTGCTGAGCAGCTGTGCTAAAGGATAAAGTTAATACGGTGCATGCACGGAGATGTATATACCAGTCCTGTGTGTGTGTGTGAGAGAGAGAGCCTGTTTACAGACTGAAACATCAGTTTATTTATACACTGTACTGTCTCACAAACACACGGGATGTGTTTGTCAATTTAATGCTCAATTGAAAAAAAAAAGATTTCTGGTGGTAACTTTGCTGCTTCCTGCGTGGGTGTGCACCCATATAACCACGTGTGCATCTGGGCACCACAAAAAGCAGAAAAATGCCAGCCTCAGACTTTTTATTATCCTCACTGCGTCTGTGGCTCCCAGACGAATACCTCATCGTGCACCTCCGATTAGCGCGGTTGGCTACGCGCGGCGCGCAAGAGGCTCACCGTACGGTGCACACGTCAGTTGCCGCGTCCGCATCTCTTTCCCAACGTGCCGTTGCATGCCGAATGCGCACGAGATCGCTCCGGCAACCCCACCACCTCAGCCTGGATAGGTATCGGCGGCCAGCACTTCCCTCTGGCAATCTACGCGCGAGACTAACCACGTGGGGGGGGGGGGGGGGCCCTTTTTGTCTTCGCCACCGCAGGACTCGCGGCAGATCGGCAGCGGATACAACCGGCGGGCTCGCCCGTTCATCGCGCACAGCGACGTGGAGGCGGCCAAGCAGATCGTGAACGCGCAGTACAACACGCCGCTGCACCTCTACTCCAACGACAACCTGCAGCACACCGTGCAGGGCCAGTTTGGCGGAAGCCCCGAGCCCGAACTGCCGTCCTCTCCACCGCCGCGGTCGCCCATGCCCCGGACGCCCACGATGTGAGTGTCGATTGAAGCTTTCGTGACCGCAGGGATTCATTTTCTTGGTTCTTTACGGTAAAGTCACGTGACTTTTACCGAACCAAGAATATGTTTTAAGGCTACTTTGTATTTTTACCAGGTAAGGCTCACTGAGCTTTACGGCTCTTTTGAAGAAGCGACCTGGCCACAAGTGATGGCTCGTGTGGAATTTTAGAACAGCGGGAGGGAAAAAAATTTAAAAATTCCACGCGGCCACGGGGAGAATATGCAAACTCAAAATGTACAGGCATCAGGGTCGGTATGGAACGCACGACCTCCTGCATACCAGGTGAGGGAGTGCACATCTAGTCACTGCGGCATCCAGGAGTTGTTGGTTCGAGGAGGCCAGGTAGCCAGGGTTAGGATTTGCCCACCCCGCTGACATTATCATGGTCTATCTACTGCTGGGCGAAGGCCTCCACGAAGCCACCACCGTCTCTCACGATCCTGCAGTGCACACAAACTGATCTTACAGATCCATCTCCTCGCGGGATGTTCTGTTGGGCACGTTCAATCCCTCGGCTGCCACCCCATAATTGTTGTTGACCAACGGCCATCATCCCTTCTGGTGACGCGTCCTGCGCAAGCCGACTTTTCCTAACAGTTTGAACGACCTTATCTTACCTTAAATGAAGGAATGTAGCGCTTTATCCAAGGCGCTTTATACAGAATTAACGATAGCACATATTAAGGTAATGGTGGAGATGAGGTGAACGAAATAGATGAGAGGAAGCAATGGGCAAACCTGTGATGCGTGAATTCGGTGAAAGCGAAATTGATGACAGTTAATGATGATGCACGGATTGAATGAATGAGGAACGAGTGAAAGCGACATCATGATGAAAAGATGAAGAGGGAAAAGTAACGGTGGTGGTTACGAGGGGTGAGACTCAGGGGCCGCGGGGTGAGCTATGGAACACACGTGAGTGTTGAGTGGTAGAGCGGAAACTCGTGAGCGAAGGTGACTGCTTCACGTGGAGGGGGAATTTTGTTCCAGTGAAGTGGGCTCTAAAGAAAGCCGTCTCGGGTGTGGACCAGTCAAATTCAAGGACAGTGCATATTATTAGCAGAGTTGTCTTTTTTGTTTGCATTTTGACTGCTTGTGTTGTGGTTATTGCAAACATGATGCCTTGAATAAAGGTGTCAGTTTTTTTTTGCCAGTTAAAAGGGTAAAACCAATTCCTATAAGAGAAAGAGAGTTGAAAGCGTGGATCGAGCGAAAGGAAACGGAGGAACAGAAAGAGACAGCGAAGACTGAGAGCGTAGAGGGCGAGAAAGCGATGTGGAAAGATACAAGCGTGGCAAGGTATGGTGTGGGCAAGACCATGACGGGATTTGTAGACCAGGGTGAGGAATGTGAACAGGCAACGGTAGTACCTGCGTGCCTTCTCTAATCCACGTGTTCCTCTTTCTGTCTCTCAACGTAATTTCAAGTGTGCATCATCTCTCCTTGCTTATTTCTTTTTGTGCAGTGTTTGTCGTCCTCCGCCATGTTCTTGAACCCAAATGTCACAGTAGGGTTAGTACACACTGATTTTAAACTTTTTTCTTGACATTGCCTGGTGCTAAAGGTCAAGGCAAAGGCAAAGAGTTGCCTTGCTATACCAGGAGGCAGTTCAGTAAGTAGGGTGAGCATTATCCCCCTTGTACGCATTGGTTTTTTTCTGAGTACTTTTTTGTTTTGATAACTCTTTTGATTGTTTTGTCCTTTTTGTTTTGGTGCCATTTCTTAATTTATTTATTCATTTTTTTTATTTTGCTTGGTAGTAGTAGGGTTTTCATTTCCTTTGTATGTACGTGTGTGTGTTGAGCTTCTTTCGCGTCATACGTGTGGCCCTTATATATAGTTTGGTCTTTATATATAATTAATGTACAGCGTTATGGGATGCTGTTGGCATGAAAGATGCGACATTATATTGAAAGTATTATTATTATTGGTTTCTGTGTACAAGCAAATTTGTTTTAATAAATCGGTCAAGCACACACATGGGATCCTTTTTAAAATTACATTCTTTAAATAATTATCGAATAGAGCAAGTCAAGATCTATAAGTATCTTGGGGTTATCCTGGATTCAAAACTGAATTTTGAAGATCACATTGATTATATTGGTAAAAAGACAAAAATAAAAATTGGTTTTCTGTATCGACACAAGCACTGCTTCCCCCCAATGTTCCGTTTGGAATTGATAAAAGCTACCATACTGCCTCTACTTGACTACTGTGACATCGTGTATAAATCAGCCCCAAGTACTGTACTGAAGAAGCTTGATTCCATCTATCACTCGGCCTTAAGATTTGCATTGAACTGCCCATATAGGACTCACCACTGTGATCGCTACATTGGGTCAAACTTAACATCTCTTAATGTTCGACGGCTTGTGCACCAGATCTTATTTATTCACGATGTACTTACAAAAAAATCCGCAGACTACCTACTGGATCTCCTCTCTGTTTCAAAGAACACATTTGACCTCAGGTCTTCGCTCATTTACCAGCTTCACATTCCCTATCGCCGTACAAAAACCGGAGGAAGGGCCTTTGCTATTGATGCCCCTAGGGTCTGGAATGCTATTGCCAATAAACTGCAACTTGAATCACTACCTATGAGATCTTCACTCAAAACTGCTCTAGAGGAGTTGTACACCCCTAGCTGCCACTGCTATTCAGTGGCCTAAAATATGGCTCTAGGGTTTGGTGTTATATGTTATTTATATAGTTTATTGTTAAAAATTCGGTCACAGTCCCTATGATCACTGTTACATTGCATTTATGGCTTTTATTTTGGTGATTTCGAAAAGTTTTTTTTGTTTTGGCCATGTTTTTGTTTATTGTAGTACGGAGTTAGACTGATGGCCTAAATCTTAGTTGTCTTGTGGTTTTTGTTTTTGTTGTTTGACTTGCATCCCACTAGGATTTCTGCACACAGCGTTGGTGTACGGTGCTATTTTGGGAATATTTTGATGGTTTTTTTCCTGGATTTTCTGTTTGCACCATCACATAATCACTTTAAGATGTTTTCTTGTTCATGTTTTTGTTTTTTGTTTGTTGCGGTTGCACCCGATTCAAGAGCCGAATGGCTCCCAGGGCTATACCAAATAAATGGAACTACCGAATGGCTCACAGGGCTATACCAAATAAATGGAACTATGAACTAAATGAAACTCGACAGTCAGTGAGGCTTTTCTGGGCAATAAAAAACAATCAATAATAATCCGTGTGCCCAAAAACCAAGTTTTGCAAGCGGTGCAATTTTTGCAAGATTAGCTAAGCTCTCTGATGTGGTCCTGAAGAAGCCCCTCAGCACGTGGCGTGAAACGTCGGACATCGTGACGAACGCACGGCACAACCCGAATACACATCGCAGAGCGATTCGTCACGGCTGCGAACATGTACGCAGTCGTGCCGGCGCACGTGCCAATGTTGGGCCAACTTTGACGTGTCCTTGGAACCGTGGAGCGAGCGCCCTACGTGCCATGTTTACTGGGGTATGACAATTAACGGTTCAATTGCAATTTGCGGCCCTCTTCCCACTTGCCGTCTTGACATTGCTGTAAATGACACTGCTTGCCTCTCAGTGCCCTTCTTCAACATGAGCGCGCATTACCGGATATTCAAGGCCTGTGTAATGTTTGACGGATGTACTGTACGTACATTTGAAAACGCTATCACAGTGTTATTAACAGGGCCCAGGGGACTGGTGTACTCCCCCAACGCACTCGGTTCTTACAGCAACCCTCGCTCATATCTTCCTGTAATAAAACTTTTGCACATTTTCGGAAATAAAGGGAATCGACATTTTGGCAGCAGAAGTTGCCTCACGAAAACGCATTCCCCGTTCGTGGAAAAGTATTAGCAGCAAGAGGGTAAAATGTTTATGAAACCTGGCCTTCATATTCGTGCTGTTGATCTGCGATTGAAACTGGAATGCTGTAATAAAAGCCGAAATTAATGATTTTGGCGGTGCTGCGTGGCAGCGGCACACACAAACACCAACAACGAAAAACTCTACGCATTCGTCAATAACACTGTGGCATTAAAGCAAATTTTTTTTTTAATTGGTGACGCTTTGGGAAATGGCCCTTTTTCCGAGCACGTAAATGTTTTGCAATGAAGAATTGATTCATGAGCGATGTATAAAAAATGGCCATTGCCCAAAATGTTGCCCGCTATATATTTGTCCTTTTAAGGCAGTATGATTTACAAATACGTAACGTAAATAATTCGATCATTTTAACGGTTTCTTGGCAATTTAAAGCTTAATGAAAGGGGAGGTTATTTGTTGTTGGATGTTTACGGTAATGTACGTCACCACCAGGATTTGTGGTCCCTCCATTTATACGGTGGACATTGTCCAACGCCTACCTGCGTGTGTTTGTGAACTAGTGAATGGTGGCATCGTACAAGCTTAGAGCCATGTAACCTTTCAGATTCGTGGCACCAACTTGTCACCCCAACTTGCCATGCTTGTTTGTCAGTTGTCTCACTACGTGCGGCACGCCAAATGTACTCGCACAACGCCGCTTGCACGGGTAGCGGCAGAGTCTGTTAAATGTGGCTGGGATGCTAATGAATTTGGGAATGGAACAAGGGTTCTGTTAGGCTAAACCACACAGAGTTCCCATTTTACGAGCAGGGAACCCCCAGTATTTCCAAGAAGGGGCTATGCAAGTGATTTTCGCAGAAGTTCTTGCTCTCATTAATGTGATTAGTGTTGGCGCTCTCGGCCCACTCGTGGTTCTTACGGTATTACATTTTTTTAATTATTTTAAAACATAACCTATCTTACAACATGAATGTGGCCAAGCCACTGGTTCGCTTTCCCATCGATGCCCGGGTGTCTTCGAGTTACCTCTTCGGTGCCCCGCAGATGAACGTTTTACTGAAAGCGACGGAACTTTTCAGCAGAGATGCCACGTTCATTGGCTACCTGCCTCCAGTGAGCAAGAGTCTTTTTATAGGACTTGTAGGGCTGCTATACTGCTATTATGTCTGCGTGACTTGATCCCAACAGCGTGCCACGTGCTGCCACGGTGCTTTCCACACACTCATGCCATTGGCATGCCTCTGCGTTTAAACCCTTTCACATCGGGCAGAGACGTGCCTCCCACCGAACTGAACGTACCGCTGCAGCGGCAGAGCGCCGTGCAGATATTTCCGTGACCTTGGATTTGATTTATTGTTCTGGGAGAGAATGGTTCAGCGGCAGTTAAAAGCATCACTTGTGTTCTTGACGCGAAAAGATTCAACAGCAGGAGAACTGATTTCACGATCGAAGGTTCAGAATTTTAAGCCGAAGTTAAAAGTTGGCATGGTCGTGGTTTCTTAGGAGCTTCCCAAATAATAGTTTGCCATCATTGTCACCATCAGCCACGGTCAATCCAACAAACACAAACCAGGTATACGTCAGCAGTTCTCCTGATGTGTTTGTTTCACCTGATGACGGTTGCTTGTGTTGCGATCGAAACGTCGTGATCTATTAATTCTCTACCTACCACGTGACTTTACTGAAAGAACCAGAGAGTATGGATTCCTGCAGTCACAAAAGCTTCAAATCAAGATCAGGTATGTAGCGCCAATTAAATTATGGAATGAAAATTGTCTCATCATCCGCATAACAATCTCATTTTTAAAACTCAAAATGAAGTGGAAACTAAATATAAAAACACATCTCAGCTAAAATTTACGTAGAATTATTACATTCATATAAAAAAATAACTTATAAAAAAGGTATACAGTGTATAGTCCTTCCGTTCCCTGTGATGCACGTCCCACTATTTTGCACAATGTCTTAGGATGCATTTGTATTTAGATGTTCTGTAAATCCAACGTGTATGATTGTATTGTCCTTGCCAGTCACCAACCCACACTGACCATCCCACCCACAACTGACATGGCATGGGTGCACGGCTTTTGGCTGCCCATCAAACAGACAGTGACTGCATCGCGCGCTTTCAGATGCGCTTCTGTGGCCGACTGGAACACTCTTCCTTCCGATATTAGGAAGCCACTGGAGCTATGCACTTTTAAATCATCTGGATTGAAAACTTTTCTTTAGAACTGTTTTTTTTGTTTAGTTTGTTGTCCTTCCCCCACACCTCCGATTAGCACTGTTGACTACGTACAGTGCGAAAGACGTTCAACTTTTCATACATGGCCTTCAACCAGCAGTGGACTGAAAAAGGGCAGAATATTATAAAAGTATTATTTTTACAGCACAACAATCAAGTTAGTTGCAATGTGGTACGACAAGTTAGTTGTATAAATCCTTAGGAAAACACAACAGCGGATATCAGTAGCTTGGAAAAATTTGGTCTGAAAGATTGCAACGCTCGAAGCTCCCTTTGACGCATCTTGGCAGAGTGCTTTCCCAAGTCTTGGAACCGCATTTGGAAAATTGCCGTGTCCCAGCCGCCACTGTGGCCACTGCAGACGCGGGAGAGCGGCTGCCGCACTTGGAAGTTATTCAGCATTTTCCAGCCTTGAGATCCAGGGGGCTGCTCTACGGAGAGGGCCTGGCGGTGTTTGTCATTCCTGTCCCGGCAGCTGTGGATGGCTATGTCTGGCCCTGTCTAAAAAAAAAAAACATGCATTCCTTTACCGTTGGTGGGTTATCAGATCCATCTTTGGTGTTTTAAAGGAAAATAATCAGCTGTTGGGCATTGGCCACTCTGATGCTGGGCCAAAAAAGTTTGGAAAATATGCTGCGTTGGTTTTTCTTTTAATTAATGTCGCTTGCTTGCGTGCAACTATTCATGTTTGTATATATATATGGGGAAGAGCGAGAGCATGGATGATTTAGACAGATGTAAAGTTTTGTGTCTTGCCTTTACCTAGAAGTTCGTGTGTTTAACTTACCAAAGCATAGTCTGGTGAATATTAAAGACCATGTTTAATTTTCAAAAGTAGGGCAGTGTGTACTTTTGTACAGTATCCCAGAGCATACACGATTATTACAGTTTAGGTTGCTTGTTATTTGCAAATTATGACTTAGGAATTTAGGTCGATGCAAGGCACGCGAGTTTACAGTCATTACACTTCATCTTTGCTACAAGTGACCGCAAATCGAGGTGATTTGAAGACTGCCTTGAATGGTTTCCACCAGTTAGTATTTACGTATGCATGTGAAGACGTTAGACCAAAAAAACAACAATAATTCCCATTAATTGTACTCCTCGTCTCTGTGTTCCAGGAGTCACTCACCCCTTGCGTTACCTCTCCCCTCATCGTTCAACTCCCCGTCCTCACAATCCCCACTCCTGCTATCGGGGCTTTCAATCAAAGCCGATTCTCCTCGTTCGCCTTCGTGGTCTGGGACGCCACGGCGGCGAGATTCTAACTACCTCGCCTGGTATACAGGAAGCCTTGGGTTCGATCCCAACCCCTAACGCCGATATATTTGGAGTCTGCATGTTCTCCCTGTGATCACGTGGATTTTTCTCCAGGCCCTCGTTTTTTTTTTCCCTCAGCATTTAGAAACGTGCGTTTAGAGTCTTTGGCTGGTGTAAATTTCCACGTGATAAGCCAATTTCGTTGAGCTATTATTTGTGGCTAGCTTGCTTGTGAAAAAGAGCTACATAGCTCAGTGGGCCCTACCTGGTAAAATAAAAGAAATAGTTTAGTTTATAGTCTGGAAATCCCTTCCCTCAGCCATCAGTGCCTGATCAAGACCAGAGCTCAAAATGTTTACATTTTCCTCTGCCTGACCACCTCTCTCGATAAAATAAATATACCCAATGCTTCTGCGCAGCGTCTTGACTTGAGATGAGGTAGCATTTAGACTCTTTGCAAGTGGATATTGCATTGTATAAACTCGCGTAGAGATCCACACACCTACATACGTACCCATACACTTACATAGAGACCGAAATATTAACATAGATGCTCGTATACTCAGATAGAGGCCTATTCCCTCAGAGACCTAACATCGACTGCCTCTCTCTATGCCCCATACTTCTGTACAGCATCTTGAAATGCGGTAACATTTGGATGCAATATGCATCCAAATTGCATTGTGATTGGATGTTGTAAAGATGTGTTCATTTAAATTAAAACGCAACTGCACCCCCTTTGCATTGTACCGTGTGAAGTTGCGTTGTACGCGCGTACGCGTGTTGAACTTTTTCGACACCGTACGTAGCCAACCGCGCCAAATCTGGAGGCCGCGTTCATTTAGCTTAGAACACAAACTGCGCTCCCCACCGCACCGAGTTGCGACCCGTGTCTCAGGAGAGCTTTCCGTTCGGTTCGACCCAAAGTTCACGACCGGGGTTTTCTCCGCAGCAACGAGGCGCAGAGGGCGGTGGCGACGGCGGCGGCCGCGGTCGGCGCCGCCCGGCGCGCCGGCTCCGGCAGCAGCGGCGGCGAGGTCGACACGGAGTCGGACGTCTACAAGATGCTGCTCGACATCACCGAGGTGGAGAGCCAGCCCAAGCAGTCGACGTCCTTCCGCTTCCTGCAGGACATGCTGGAGTACAACGGTGAGCGTTCGCACTTCCCGCCGTGCGCCGCAGCGTCCGCGCGGTGAGGGCGACGGCGTTTTATTATTTTCGATTGATTCTTTTTATTTTATTTTTATTGTTTTAATTTTAATTGTATTTTATTTTATTTTTAATTTCATTTACATTTTTTGTTTTGTTTTCTATTTACGCGACTTTACATTGTGCTCGCTCGCAGTCGAGGCTCAACCCGGCTTGGCTTCAGAGATCTGATGAGGTTGGGTGCATTCTGGGTGATTTGATCGGAGTGAGTTGAGGTAAACATCGAATAAGAGGTGGCTGGGTAGCAGAGGGCCACATAGTGGTTGAGCCAGAGTGCTGTGCCATGACCTAAAGGATTCTGGAATATTATCTGGGTGGCGACTCACTTGTGATCATTATCATACAGGGGTTTATTCCCTGTTGTATTCCATTGATGTCGTTGATGTTATGCAATGAGAAAAATAATCCATTTGGATCTCTCACGGAGCTGTGTGACCCTTTGAGTAAAAGGACAGCCCGCAGAAGTGGATACTGCTGAGCCACCTCTGAGATTACTCCAAGGGACCTCTTGTCCACACGGCTGGCGGACAGCACCTTCAACATATTCTCTACCACAGAACGTAACATTCTTCACATGAGAGTCAAGCAAATGGTGTTTATTTCTCAGAGCTGGGGGAAAAAAACACGAATTTAGTGTCACGCATTGTTTGTACAGCGACCAGTGGACTAGGCTGCGACCGTCTTGGGTAGTCAGCCCACCTTGATTAGAAGCATTTAATTTACCGAAATGTGCATGCTGCATAGGAAAAAAAAATTGGCAGTGTATTTTTTTTTTTTAAACAATGCTCCCCTTGCACCGTTGGATTGTCCGAGGGCATCAGTCCAGAAAGCGCGATGGCTCCTGCCCCCCCCCCCCGCTCACTGGCTCACGCAGACGGAAAACTGATTGACCCTAATTGGCTTGACAGCTTGTTTCCTGCCGATGGCAGAGCGTGGTATGCGGGGGTCACGTCAGACCGTCGGAAGAGAAAGCCTGAGCAGAAGGGCAGGGCCCGCAGAGTGCCATTCAAAGGAATGTCTCTCGCAGATGCGGCATACCAGTTTGTTGGTCCCGTGCATTGCATGGAAGGAGTGCATTTTCTTTTCTTTTAAAGGAAATTTTTTTATCCCGAGGTGGTTCGCTGAATCTGGTCAATTATTTTCAAAGCACACGTAAACTCGACAAATTAACTACGGAGAGATACCACTGAGCGTGCTTACTGCAGAACTGTTACGCAAGTGCGCTTTGAGCTTCAAAGTTTCGATTGAATTAGATTTAACCTGGCCCCCTAAATGCATTTGACAGCGTGTAATAACTTGGACAACATTGTGTCTACAGTGAGGGAAAAAAGTATTTGATCCCCTGCTGATTTTGTACGTTTGCCCACTGACAAAGAAATGATCAGTCTATAATTTTAATGGTAGGTTTATTTGAACAGTGAGAGACAGAATAACAACAAGAAAATCCAGAAAACGCATGTCAAAAATGTTATAAATTGATTTGCATTTTAATGAGGGAAATAAGTATTTGACCCCTCTGCAAAACATGACTTAGTGGTAGCAGCAGCTATGACAACTACAGCAGATATAACAACAGCAGCAGCAAAATCAATAGCAGTTATAGTGGTAGCATCAGCTATGGCAACGACAGCAGATATAACAGCAGCAGCAGCAAAATCAATAGCAGCAGCTATAATGGTAGCATCATCAATGGCAACTACAGCAGATATAACAACAGCAGCAGCAAAATCAATAGCAGCTACAGTGGTAGCAGCAGCTATAACAACTACAGCAGATATAACAACAGCAGCAGCAGCAGCAAAATCAATAGCAGCTATAGTGGTAGCAGCAGCTATGACAACCTCATCAGATATAACAACAGCAGCAGTAAAATCAATAGCAGCAGCTATAGTGGTAGCATCATCAATGGCAACTACAGCAGATATAATAACAGCAGCAGCAAAATCAATAGCAGCTACAGTGGTAGCAGCAGCTATGGCAACTATAGCAGATATAACAACAGCAGCAAAATCAATAGCAGTTATAGTGGTAGCAGCAGCTATGGCAACTACAGTGAGGGAACAAAGTATTTGATCCCCTGCTGATTTTGTACGTTTGCCCACTGACAAAGAAATTATCATTCTATAATTTTAATGGTAGGTTTATTTGAACAGTGAAAGACAGAATAACAACAAAAAAATCCAGAAAAACGCATGTCAAAAATGTTATAAATTGATTTGCATTTTAATGAGGGAAATAAGTATTTAACCCCCTCTCAATCAGAAAGATTTCTGGCTCCCAGGTGTCTTTTATACAGGTAACGAGCTGAGATTAGGAGCACACTCTTAAAGGGAGTGCTCCTAATCTCAGCTTGTTACCTGTATAAAAGACACCTGTCCACAGAAGCAATCAATCAATCAGATTCCAAACTCTCCACCATGGCCAAGACCAAAGAGCTCTCCAAGGATGTCAGGGACAAGATTGTAGACCTACGCAAGGCTGGAATGGGCTACAAGACCATTGCCAAGCAGCTTGGTGAGAAGGTGACAACAGTTGGTGCGATTATTCGCAAATGGAAGAAACACAAAAGAACTCTCAATCTCCCTCGGCCTGGGGCTCCATGCAAGATCTCACCTCGTGGAGTTGCAATGATCATGAGAACGGTGAGGAATCAGCCCAGAACTACACGGGAGGATCTTGTCAATGATCTCAAGGCAGCTGGGACCAAAGTCACCAAGAAAACAATTGGTAACACACTACGTCGTGAAGGACTGAAATCCTGCAGCGCCCGCAAGGTCCCCCTACTCAAGAAAGCACATATACATGCCCGTCTGAAGTTTGCCAATGAACATCTGAATGTTTCAGAGGACAACTGAATGAAAGTGTTGTGGTCAGATGAGACCAAAATGGAGCTCTTTGGCATCAACTCAACTCGCCATGTTTGGAGGAGGAGGAATGCTGCCTATGACCCCAAGAACACCATCCCCACTGTCAAACATGGAGGTGGAAACATTATGCTTTGGGGGTGTTTTCTGCTAAGGGGCAGGACAACTTCACCGCACCAAAGGGACGATGGACGGGGCCATGTACTGTCAAATCTTGGGTGAGAACCTCCTTCCCTCAGCCAGGGCATTGAAAATGGGTCGTGGATGGGTATTCCAGCATGACAATGACCCAAAACACACGGCCAAGGCAACAAAGGAGTGGCTCAAGAAGAAGCACATTAAGGTCCTGGAGTGGCCTAGCCAGTCTCCAGACCTTAATCCCATTGAAAATCTGTGGAGGGAGCTGAAGGTTCCAGTTGCCAAACGTCAGCCTCGAAACCTTAATTGCTTTGAGAAGATCTGCAAAGAGGAGTGGGACAAAATCCCTGCTGAGATGTGTGCAAATCTGGTGGCCAACTACAAGAAACGTCTGACCTCTGTGATTGCCACCAATGGTTTTGCCACCAAGTACTAAGTTATGTTTTGCAGAGGGGTCAAATACTTATTTCCCTCATTAAAATGCAAATCAATTTATAACATTTTTGACATGCGTTTTACTGGATTTTTTTGTTGTTATTCTGTCTCTCATTATTCAAATAAACCTACCATTAAAATTATAGACTGATCATTTCTTTGGTTTAACACGTAGGCTTTCGCGACCAATATTATTCATAATAAAGGTTTTTGGGTTAGATCGCGTTTATTTATAAATGTGTCGCAACCCTCCACCACCCGACACGGCCAATCAGCAAAAAAAAGTGTCACGTTGACAAAAGACAAATAATTCACTACTTCAGCCCACCGGTGTGTTGAAGAGTTAATCCACATTTACAAATAAATGTGGATTAATGTAAATGTGGATTAACTCTTCAACACACCGGTGGGCTGAAGTAGTGAATTATTTGTCTTTTGTCAACGTGACACTTTTTTTGCTGATTGGCCGTGTCGGGTGGTGGAGGGTTGCGACACATTTATAAATAAACGCGATCTAACCCAAAAACCTTTATTATGAATGATCATTTCTTTGTCAGTGGGCAAACGTACAAAATCATCAGGGGATAAAATATTTTTTTCCCTCACTGTAAATGATAAACCTTATGCATCTTCTCGTGAAATTATTCCTGGACCTAAATCTGGTCAGGCTTTAATAACAATACCTTTCGTGTCTGCTTCTGAAAAAAGTGGTCTAGCCTCGCTGGGGTGGTACCTCTTTTACCCACCCGGGGAAAATAATGATGATGATGAACTGAGTTAGCCCCAGGATTATGAAGATAAACAATACGACTATAATGCCATTTATTTACCCAGAGAGACGTTACTGAGACTAAAGTCTCCTTTTAAGGAGGGTCCTGCATCGGAATGTTTGGCCTTGCCATTCATAATTGTTTGGCTTGCGGGACGAGAGAAGAATAACCGTAGAAATCCCCGCACACCTGAGAGTTAACACTCAAAGCTCCGCACAGATGGATTCAAGTTTCGATTGCTCTCATGTAATGTCCTGGTCACCTTGCAGTACTAGCCTACAAGACCTGGTAGACCCAGGCAGCTTCTGAGATCCGATTTAGTCATAGGCATTTGCACGAAACCTAACATTATTTTTTGTAATGAATGTTATTTTTTTGTATGCCTGCAGGACGCAGGGCATCAAGTAGGCCACATCCCTACATTTTAGGCGTTGGAGTATTGTCTACTTGTACGAATTGGGCTTTCTCTGGACACTGTCCCTGAAAAAGTATAGTCTCGGTGAGAACTTGTTAGGTTAAAGAACAATTCGAACATATAACTATAAATGTATCAAGCACATATATACGTGTGGATTCGTATATAACTTTATGAAATGGTATGTCATTGAGTAAAAGTAAATACCACTTTTCAATACAGAGAACAAAGATATATTTTAAATCTCACCACTTTCATGAATCCCGTGGGTCTCTTATAAAATGTTATATACAGTGATATCCATATAAATGAGAAGAGAAAATGAAAGTTCTTAAACTTTAATATTGCATTTTAATCTTAGAATAATGTTCAATGTTCCCAAAGGCATACCAACTCTATGCACTTTTAAATTCTGTTATAGTTGCACAAATTCTTGAACAGGTTTGTTTGACTCGTGTAATTAGATTTTTTAAACTTGAATTTAACCTTAAGGAGTAAAACTGGACGTACAAGTCATGTCTGGATTTTAATTTATATTCATAAAAATAAAAACACGTCAAGTAAAAGCATGAAAGAAACTCAGCATTTTAAATGATATCCTCGTAAACGTTCCCCATATATCCCAGGAGTTTCCATTGGTCCCACATTTTTAAATAACCATATTCGGAAATTGCAAGATCATTTTTGTAAGATTAATTTTCTCTACATTTTCTTAATCTGAAAATGTTTATAAAAACAACATTCTCGGCAAATCTCCTTCTTTCAATGGGGTCCTTGAGCCAATTTCACATTCCCTTGGCAGGAGCCAGTCTCTCCATAGAATAGACAGCGTTTAATTGGCACAAAGTGGTACGTATTTTATTCACCTCTGAAGGATGATGGACTGATTGGACCCCTAAAAATATATTCATAAATAGAAATAACGATTTACAGCCCCCTGTCAATCCACTTCTGAATGTATTTCTTAGTCGTGGGGGGTTGTTAGGTCATACCACGCTGGTCAGTATGGACTGGTAACACGGTGGACCAGGACTGGTTCAGATATCATTTACCACTGATGTTATCCGTGGCCATATTTTATACTTAGGTTGCTGGGGACGCAAACCACTGATTTGTTATTGTTATATATTCGTGATGGTCAAACAACCCACGTAGCACAATGGACTAACCACTGCACCACCTAGTATTTCAATCGCACGCTAAATTATTCAAAGTTCAAGCATTAGCATTTGCCTGCAGGAAATTTATGTTATTTTGTAGATGACGCGGCTTAATAACGTTTTTAACTTCTCTGCACACGCTTGAAGCAATAGATACCTGTACGTGCAAACATGTTTCCGCACAGCACTAAAGCATTTTATAAACATGTACTAATATGGTGCCATGTGCCTCGAACATTAATGAAGTGAATTTATTGCCTGGGCACACATTACCCTCACAGGCTGCCAAGCACTCGACTGTACCGCTAGAAACAAGACCGTGACGCAAGTTACTCGTTCACGCAACGATTTACCTGCGTGCGTTATAAAACGTTACATTGTACGATCGTGAGAGATGGTGGCGGATGGATAGAGGCCTATGTCCAGCAGTGGATTGACCATGGCTGCTGCTGCTGCTGCCGAGGATGAATTACGACACAGCACTGTTGTGTCTGGATTGGTGGCACAGTGGTTAGCACACTGTACGATGAACCCACCCACCGACCATGGTTAATGTCAGTGATGTGTGATATCTCGACCGGTTTCGTGTCCTCCTCCTATCCTCACACGAATCAACGTGGTGAAGTATGGTCACACAATCTCCATGGGGGGCGGGGGGAGGGGGCCTTCATCCAGCAGTAGATTCACGAAGAGTTGTAACTAAGAATACTGGAATAACATTGTTTCGAATGTACTTTTCTCATACTTTGCTACGTGGTGTGCCACATAATTTGGCCTCCCTCCTCTTTTGCAAAACACTGCCTAGATCCAAGAGTTGTAAATAACTTGTAAAATTACAATTACAAACTTGGGTTGCCCAGGTTTACCTCTTTTTGTTGTTGTTGTTTTTTTCCCCTCGCAAATTATATACCAGCCAGTTGTGCCATTGGAATTTACGGAGTGGGACGACAGAATGCCCTCTCTGAACTACGTCAATCAACAGGGGGACAAATTATGTCAGGAGACGCCACTAATTGGAGTCACTTCAATAGAATTTATCTCATAGAATACTAGAAGACGTTCCTCCCTTCTTTGGAAGGAGTGGGTTGCCTCTTGCCAATCAATTAATACGTCTCTTAAATTTTGCCTCGTGGAGCTGAGTCAGGCTGAATTAAATAACTCAAAAGAGGAATTATTTTAAAGAAAAAAAAAGGTATTGAGAATCATGAGGCTTTCCTAGGTAGATATAGACTTCATATCATCATCATCGTAAATTGCCATAGTAAACACACTGCTGGATGAAGGCTTCTCAAGCCACGGCTATCTCTCATGATTATTAGATTTTATTATCCAAATCCAAGTTAAATTATAATTTTGCCATTTTCTGCCACATGGTTTTCAGACTAACATGGCCCCCAAATGTGAACTCGGTGATTGATGTCAGGGTGCACGTTGTCCCCTTCTCGTGTTGACCCTGTGACGTCGTGACTGGTAGTGGGCATCATCGCCATCACCACGCAGGCCTCCCCATGTCGTTGCCTAAGCCTCACCTGGCCCCGATGGCAGGGTTGTTCGACCATACTTCACCAAGCCTGGTCATTGTTGGTTTGTTTATAGAGGTCAGCCCGGGTGAAAACGACACGGGAAGGGCGCCCGGAAAAGTAGGCCCAGGTTCAGCTGTCATGGAACCGAGCCAATGCACTTCCCAGTGCTCATGGGAACGCAGCACTAATGAGCGCAAATGGCTCCTGTTGGTGTCTTTGTTGTTGTCGTCGTGTGAACAGGCGATAAGCCCGAGAGGCCAACGGGCACCCGTACAGTGAGGGCCCCCAACAATAAGCTGGGACCCATCTCCCCGCCGGCACAGAAGCTGCCAATCTGTGGACGCTGCGACGCTGGCATTGTGTAAGTCGTGACGCTCCGCACCTCGTAATTAGCGCGGTTTCGCAGCGTACAGTGCGAAAAAAGTTCAACATTCAAACACACAATATCTGAACCACTCTTGTAACTCCGTCCTTCAGCAATCTGCACTAAACAGCCAGGTGGAGTATGGTCAAATGACCCCCACGATTGCTAACGCATGGTGACACCTTTATCCAGCAGTGCATTGACAATGGTTTGGTAAATGCACTCACAATCAAGCGTTGTGTTAAGTGTAACTAGAGAGATTGCCTGCGTTGTTGTGTGTTGCTGCAATATATATGTCGCTACCCACGTCATGATCAAGTCACCAACTGCTGTGGTCCGGCTGGGGAAATTTCAGATACAGAAAGGCTGTCCCCGGTGTCGCGAAGGATTTTTTTAAGAAAAAAAAATCTGGATTTTGTGCCCAGTTTAAAATGTCCTGGCCTCATGCTCCACTCATGGTTCGGGTCAAAGGGCAGGGCTACCTGGGTAGTGAGTGGGGATTGCAGAGTGGGGTCAGGCAGGGCCTTTGAGCAACATGCGAGGCCAATGTCAGAACGCCATACCAGGAAGCCACTCAATATGTGGCTGGGGCCCGGGAGTGAATGGTCATGGTTATGTAAGTGGGAGGTTGATGGCTTACCGTGTGCCCTCGGTGAGCCTCACAGATATGGGGGGGGGGGGGGGGGTGGGGGAGCTTTAACGTTACCAGGAGGGCAGCCACGCCGAAGCGTCGTTGCTTGAACCCATTGCCAGTTTGTGCGGGATCGTGGAAAGAAACAGGAAGAAAACGGTGTGCGATCCTTTAAAGGGACCCCATCTTTGACCAAGAGTAACAACACAGCCGTAAAAGGCCAAGTGTGCGTCTGCGATTTTATGTTCCATTGCACGTGACCTCCTGAAAAAAGCCTGAACTATTTTAACAATTTTTATAATGGCCTGCTGGAAAAAAAAATCCTTTTTTATCTTGCAAAAACCTCTTAAACTACAATTCCATTATTTTTTATAGACTTCATTTTAATAATTCGAATAGTTAAAAGGGTCGTGATTTTTTTAAAGGTGTTTTTGTAACCGCATATGGGTCTGGAATGATCGTTACAATGGTAAGCCATTACATTTGCTTTAAAGATCCTGTCAGGCATGCCGAGGGGATTTAATTTTTATTTTCTACTTTCTGTAATTTCCTTCCATCCGTCCCATTTGCCCGTCCTTCAAACACTTTCCCGTGTACAAGTGTCACACCGGGTCCCATGTGCAGTCTGCCTGGCTCCCATTCTGACAAGGAAGCAATTACACACAAGGTAGAAACAGATGTACGTTGGGCACAACGTAAAGTTTACTACAACACAGACCTATTTCTACAGCTGTCCCGGTTTCAGCCTTGCCTCTCTGTCGGTCTGTCTGGCTGGCTCTTTTCTCTCACTGCTCTTGAATCCATTTCTCTCCATTCATCCTCGGTTGTGATATTTAATTCCATCTCTGTGTCCGTGCGTGCGTGCGTACGTGCGTCATCTCTCGGTCTGTATCTCTGTCTCTTATCTCGTCTCTGTCTTTTGCCAGACACGTGAAATTCTCTCGCTTTTTTCTTTCAAAATGCCCTTCTACATCGTATATGAATTTAAATCTCCTGCAATTTTCTCCTGCAATTTAGGGTTCCGGTAGGAATTCAAATATTCTGCAAGGTAGACCTCAGGGTTTTCAATTTATCTTGGAGATCGTTTCTCTGTGTTATTTGTTTATTTTTCTTTCCCATCTCATTTCCCTTCTCTGCTTCTCTTAAGTAAAAAAAAAAACACCCAATACTTTCATAAATCGATTTTAAGTGTGCGAAAAAAACTTTTGTGAAGAATAAAAAATATATATACGAAAATGACAAACGCAGGCTGCGCTAAAAGTAAAAAAAACAACGAATTTGGCTACTTGATTTGAGCTTTCGTGACTGCAGGAATTACTCTTTGGTTCTTTTGGTAAAGTCACGTAGAAAGAAAATAAATTAAATAATAAAGTACGAAGTTTCGATTGCAACACCAGCTACCGTCATCAGGTAGAACTAAATTTGAGAGAGAGACAAAACACAGACACGGAGACACACAGACAGACACACAAGCAGAGAGAGACACACAGACACACAGAGAGAGACACACAACATATGTCTTTCAACATAGGCCCAGGAACGACGGAGGCGAGATGTTAACTCCCTCATCTGGTACACAGGAGGTCGTGGGTTCGATCCCGATCCTGATGCCTGCTGTATATTAGGAGTTTGCGTGTTCTCCCCGTGGTCACGTGGGTTTATCTCCAGGTCCTCCGGGGTTTCCCTCCACATTTAGAAACACGCGTTCAGAGTATTTGGCTGCTAGAAATTTCCACGTGATAAGCCACTTCGTTGAGCTATCATTTGTGGCCAGGTCGCTTTTGAAAAAGAACTGTGTAGCTCAGTGGGCCTTAGCTGGTAAAATGAAAAAAAATTAGTATAGTTTTAGATTCAGATGTGACCACCCAAGTTAACCATGGCTGGCAATCAAACTCAGACTTGCCAGGTTCACAGCGCAGTGCGCTAACCGCTGCATTACCGCGCCACTCCACTCCACTCCTCCACCGACGGTTACAGCATCGCTCGCTCGCTCGCTCGTCACCCACTGCCGCGCCCTTTCGCCCTCCTCGTCCCCCCGCAGGGGCACGGTGGTGAAGGTTCGAGACCAGTTACGCCACCCGGAATGCTTCGTGTGCGCCGACTGCGGCGCCTGCCTCAAGCAGAAGGGGTACTTCTTCGTGGAGGGCGACATGTACTGCGAGGTGCACGCGCGGGCGCGCGTCAAGCCCCCCGAGGGCTACGAGGTGGTGGCCGTGTTCCCCAACAATTGAGCGGCGCCGAGGCCGTGCACCGCAACGATGGCGCACGAGCGCCAGCGTGTCATTTTGCCGAGCGTGCGTGCACACGTGCACACGCACACGTGTACACCCACGCGCACGTGCACACGTGTACACCCACGCGCACGTGCACACGCACGCGCACGTGTACAGGCAACACACACGCGCACGTGCACACGCACGCGCACGCGAACAAAGACAACGACTCTCCTTCACCCACCGCCCTAATTAGCCAGGCAGACCCCTCGGGACAGGTGCCGTTAGCGAGGAGCGCCGGTTGGCACGGTTGGCCACGTACGACGTGCGTGCATTTGCGTAAAGGCCGGCGCGGCGCATAAAAAGGGCGTGGTGTGGTCACCGCCGTGCCCGGCCGCCTTTGTCTCCCCCACAAGCGACGAGAGTGGTAGTCAGCGTGCTGAGCTATGAACGTCGCGGCCCCAGTTCGGCTGACGGCCGTGGCGAGTCATTATTAGTCGTGATTAGCTTAACCCCTGGGTTGGCTCAGTCTTAAATGAGTACCTGGTGCAGTGTGTAAACATCAGCACCAAAATGACTAAAGGGTGGCCACACCACTCCCTCTTGCATTGTGCCGGCCTTCATTAATGCTCTCTAACACACTTGCCCCAACGGCCTGTTGAAGGCTACATGGGGAATCTTTGTCTTTGTGTCTGCACACACATACTCCCACATATGCCTCTATTCACCCTGCCCTCATGGAAAGACGCTATATGTAATTCCCAAAGTTTGCTGTACAAATGCTGTAAGAGTTATGACATCTGTTATCGGGTCTTTTGGGTCTTCCTATAGAAACAGTGGTAGTTTGGTTCAAGTTTCTTTATATATTAAAAAAGAGCAGAGGTTGAGGTTCTGTTGAGCTTTTACAGATGGGGGCCTTGCGGAGTGATCCTGTGCAACGATGAAATAATCGAAATTAATTGAGGTTTTCTAAGTCGTTGTATTATCTGTACCGTAGCCTGTGCTACGAGATGTATTTTTTTAGACTAGCTCATAGGTTACTCTGATTTTAAGCTACGAAACATTTTAGAGAGAAAAGTGCCTCTAAATATAAATATACAATGTGCTCATAAACGGATCGTAAGGGGAAAACTCTAGCCTAGGGATGATTCAAGATCTATGCATCGCATCACAAGCTCATTTCGTTTCTGCCCTCCTGTCAGTTTTTAAAGCCCAATTCGAATGCTCGTTCCAACTTAGTTCGAGGATGTTTACCGAAAAGGAATGATCTTTTTGACAATGTTACTACGACAAGCCGACTGCCAGTCTATACAACTGGAAAGTGTTTATGTTTTAATACTCGGAGTGTTATTAAGTGATGGAAAAACAACACTGTAACTGAGGCAAAGCCTGTCATAAGAAATGCATTAAACACTGCATGTCACGCTAAAACATCGTTAATAACATCAATAATAATAAAACGCTGGTATATAAATCCGAAGGATATCCTCATGTTGTGCCCTGCGTGAATATTTTGAGATTTCACAGTTCATTAAAGGCGCTGTTTTTAATAGAATGATCTACATTTTTGTTCACAAATAGCACGGACTATCATATTTCTCACCACGATTAAGCCACGGTATTGGGTCACGGTCAGGTTAGGGTGAATCTGGATCTGCCAGACATGCTCGAGACATGACTTACCCCCTGCGCGCAAATTTCACACTGTGGTCATGGAGAGGAGAGTTTTACTTGGTTTCGGCGGCACAAAAAGAGCCTTTCTTCCGCGCCGTTTTGATGTTTTGCTTGGTTTTAAGAAAGGCAGCCATGTGAACTTGATATCAAACACAGGCTGTGTGCATTCATCAGAGTGGAGTTGATCACACGCTAGAGACTGGCATCCAATGCTCAGCGTGCGATAGGTCAGGCACAATTTAATACTGCATTATCCGGATTATTTGACGCTATGGAAAGTAAAGACATGTCCCCCACCCCCCGCCCCAAACTTGTGTCCGGTTATAGACATGTTGTTCACAAAGACCTGCTGGATCGTGAGACACAATACCACCTTTTGCTTTAAAATACACATGGTCATATGGTAGAAGTTGGATATAACCACACCCGTTGGGATAAAGGTCATATGTGCTTATATCTGATGTAGTGTGCTTGTACACTATTTTACTCTCTGCCTCCACCAGTGCAATATAAGCGTGTGTTGCTTAATTAGAACCATGCATGCTTCTGTTGCACCAAATATAAAAAAGTTCGGCTTTTAGCTTGAAATTGCAGTCTGCTTCCCAAATTGTGCTTTTATTGTTGTTAACCAGTCAGACCTTTACATTGACAACATAAAACAATGCCACGACATTAATTATACTATATTTAAGCAGTCACATCAATGGAATTAATGGATGCTCTTGCATTATTTTGTGATTATTTTTTTAAAATCAAGGCTTCCTTAAAGTGCTTCTTACATTGTTTAATGTATCTCTATCAAAAATATGTATTGACCATCGTGCCTTGCAATGTCTTAGAGCAAGGCTGGCTTTTTATTCCAAATTTAACGTAGTGCAAGCTTTACTAAAGTGATGCGCTAGATGAGTTTACTTTGTTTAATACAGGGTGCCCAAAAGGATGTATGATTGCATGTTGAGGATAGACGCAACATTTTCACTTATCGGCCGTTGGCACGCTACATCCTACACAGCAGAGAACTTCTTCCACCACTGCCACCAACCTAGCAGTCACTCTAAACAGATTCGTGCGCAAAGCCCCATTTTTACTTTTACAACGATCGCAACGGCCAGCGTCACTGCTCAGAAATATTCATCGTCAGAAAATCGTCAATCCAGTGGCGGGTGAAGGCCTCCCCCAAGTCATCAGCGTCTCCGCGGGTGACGGCACCCACACGGCACCTTGCACACAAGTCGATTGATTGTTCACGTGCACAATAACAATCGCGTTGAATGTAATGATTCGCTCGCAAAGTTTTGCCATCAAAATAAACTTTTCTCGTGCCTACTTTTCATTATTTGCCTAAAGCCTTTTGACCACCCAGCATATGTGTGCATTTGTGTGTGTATATACTGTATATGTGCTTTTTCCAATTCATGGCTAGTTCCGTTCGACACTTTTGAAAGACATCCTATTAAAAATATTAAATTCTATAATGTTTTGGCAAAAACTTTTTCATATACAGTGAGGGAAAAAAGTATTTGATCCCCAGCTGATTTTGTATGTTTGCCCACTGACAAAGAAATGATCAGTCTAGAATTTTAATGGTAGGTTTATTTGAACAGTGAGAGACAGAATAACAACAAAAAATCCGGTAAAATTCATGTCAGAAATGTTATAAATTGATTTGCATTTTAATGAGGGAAATAAGTATTTGACCCCTCTGCAAAACATGACTTAGTACTTGGTGGCAAAACCCTTGTTGGCAATCACAGAGGTCAGACGTGTCTTGTAGTTGGCCACCAGGTTTGCACACATCTCAGCAGGGATTTTGTCCCACTCGCCTATCTTCTCCAAGTCATTAAGGTTTCGAGGCTGACGTTTGGTAACTCGAACCTTCAACTCCCTCCACAGATTTTCGATGGGATTAAGGTCTGGAGACTGGCTAGGCCACTCCAGGACCTTATTGTGCTTCTTCTTGAGCCACTCCTTTGTTGCCTTGGCCGTGTGTTTTGGGTCATTGTCATGCTGGAATACCCATCCACGACCCATTTTCAATGCCCTGGCTGAGGGAAGGAGGTTCTCACCCAAGATTTGACGGTACATGGCCCCGTCCATCGTCCCTTTGATGTGGTGAAGTTGTCCTGTCCCCTTAGAAAAACACCCCCAAAGCATAATGTTTCCACCTCAATGTTTGACGGTGGGGATGGTGTTCTTGGAGTCATAGGCAGCATTCCTCCTCCTCCAAACACGGCGAGTTGATTTGATGCCAAAGAGCTCTATTTTGGTCTCATCTGACCACAAAACTTTCACCCAGTTATCCTCTGAAACATTCAGATGTTCAGTTTAACACGTAGGCTTTCGCGACCAATATTCATATTAAAGGTTTTTGGGTTAGATCGCGTTTATTTATAAATGTGTCGTAACCCTCCACCACCCGACATGGCCAATCAGCAAAAAAAGTGTCACGTTGACAAAAGACAAATAAAAAAAAGGCTAAAGTAGTGAATTATTTGTCTTTTGTCAACGTGACACTCTTTTTTTGCTGATTGGCCGTGTCGGGTGTTGGAGGGTTACGACACATTTATAAATAAACGCGATCTAACCCAAAAACCTTTATTATGAATTCAGATGTTCATTGGCAAACTTCAGACGGGCATGTATATGTGCTTTCTTGAGCAGGGGGGCCTTGCGGTCGCTGCAGGATTTCAGTTCTTCACAGCGCAGTGTGTTACCAATTGTTTTCTTGGTGACTATGGTCCCAGCTGCCTTGATCATTGACAAGATCCTCCCGTGTTGTTCTGGACTGATTCCTCACCGTTCTCATGATCATTGCAACTGCACGAGGTGAGCTCTTGCATGGAGCCCCAGGCCGAGGGAGATTGACAGTTCTTTTGTGTTTCTTCCATTTACGAATAATCGCACCAACTGTTGTCACCTTCTCACCAAGCTGCTTGGCAATGGTCTTGTAGCCCATTCCAGCCTTGTGTAGGTCTACAATCTTGTCCCTGACAGCCTTGGAGAGCTCTTTGGTCTTGGCCATGGTGGAGATTTTGGAATCTGATTGATTGATTGCTTCTGTGGACAGGTAACAAGCTGAGATTAGGAACACTCCCTTTAAGAGTGTGTTCCTAATCTCAGCTCGTTACCTGTATAAAAGACACCTGGGAGCCAGAAATCTTTCTGATTGAGAGGGGGTCAAATACTTATTTCCCTCATTAAAATGCAAATCAATTTATAACATTTTTGACATGCGTTTTTCTGGATTTTGTTGTTGTTATTCTGTCTCTCACTGTTCAAATAAACCTACCATTAAAATTATAGACATAATTTCTTTGTCAGTGGGCAAACGTACAAAATCAGCAGGGGATCAAATACTTTTTCCCTCACTGTACCTCTATTTGAGATTCGTGTAAAAGTCCAAAAGTAAACTTCAAGATCAATGATTAATTATTAGAAATAATGTATGCTTGTGAATTAATTTAGCCCAAGACCATGTGGCATATCTATGTTTTCACCAATTGCCTGCCATGCATCAATCTGGCAATATATTGTTGTTAATGATGAAGACCTTGCCACATTTCCATAGTTTGCAAATAAGCCAATGGCCGTTTTACACTTCGCCTGACATGCCGTCACGAATACTCTTCAGAGCGGTTTGTGAGCATTTTGCAAGACACGGCTCTCTGAGATTTTTGTTCGACAGAAAACCCGATCAAGGGATTTTGGATTCAATTGGTGATTTTATTTAAATGCGATTATCATGTTCCTTTATACTTTTTTTTAAAATATCACAATGGAAATGATACAGTGTGACAAATGTGATTCCATCTGTAATATTATTTTGCTTGGCGTTCTTAAGCAAGGCCCACAGTTCCGGCCCTGCTCACCCTCTCTTGTCCTGTGCTGGACTTAAATAGCTACTCACAAATGTCGGTTGCCACACCAGTTTCTGCCAAACTTTCAAGGGTGTTGTTGTTGTCTTCACGATGTTCCACGTGTCCGCACGTGCATGCCGTTCATCAGTACTCGATCTTGATTTCTCTGAGCATGATGACAGGTGAATTCTAAAAAAATCACAAGTTTCATTTATGGAGACGCCAAGATGACCCGATTGGCAATCGCAAAAATGTGGTTATCCGAACCGTAAGTTATTCCAGTTAATGCGGTTGGTCTCCACCTACAATTTTAGTGAAACCGACATGTTGGGACGTTTCTAAAATGTATTGGCCCATGTTTGTGTATGTGTGTGCACGTGCACGATTGTCTTGTGCAAGGGCAGATTTATGCTCTCTGACATGCTACTGTTAATTGAGAAAAAAGGAGAGGCTCACTTAATGTATTGCCCTGCATAGCTTCTTGCTTGTCTTTAATAGGGCCTTGCTGTTTACAAGTTGACTTATAAGTAGCCGAGTTAACCATTGTTGAAAAATACAACAGGTGATTTTGTTTTTAAATAAGATTTTTTGCCTTTATTGTTTTAAGTTGTTGAGAGCATTTGTTTGTTTTTTAGGTTGTTAAGTTGAGCAATCCTGTCCATAATATTGGCCACCCAGAAAATTAAGACCTGTGGCCCAAAAGCGGGCTTCTCACAAACATGCTGGTAAATGACAACAGTGTACAGCTTGTGAACCAGAATCCTTTATGGACGATTTATAAATGTGTGCTTAAAAGGCTGAGGTGAAATAAAATTCTTAAAGTTATTTTCCCAGTTCACAAACTTGAGTTTAAGATTATTGATCAGCGATAAATGCGAATTGATATAAGTAAACAATATTGCTCATTGAGACAGTGTGTCATGGGATATTTAAATTGAACCAAGTGCTCTGTTGAAATTTCTGCACCTACGACTACACATTCGGCATTGGTGTTGTTGAATATGTATGGGTATAATTATGCAAAGCTTACGACTTGTACACCATCACATGCAATAAAGTGTTTAATTTGTGATTTGTTTTTTTATATGATGTGGTCTTCATTGTTCGTTTTATTCTGGCTTTGCCAATTGTGTGTTCAATAAGAAATGTATTCATATATATAATTAATAATTAAAGCCTCTGGGTTTAGAGCCATTCACATTACTTCTCCGAGTAACCAACGAGGTCTGAGCTGGGTAAACCACACCAATGTGATGTTTCGCATTTTATATTGTGCAACAGTCTCAATGAAACCAACTGGCAATGTAACCCTCATTTCTGCTCATCATGGCACACATTTGATAACAGTTTTATAATTGTGACCTATTTTTACAATATATAAGGGAAAATACCAGTAGAGGTCTACACATTACACAGGTATATCAACCGAGTATTCACTTTATAGTTATACAGCTCTTTGAATAATACAACTGGACACACGCCCACGGTAATATTAAGTTGTTATAGTTTGAGTCTCATATCTTTAAACCTTAACGTGTTTGCTGTTGCATTGACGATAGACATCACATCGATATTTGAGAGAGTTCCAATTGGGATTATTTGGAATTCGCCTGCTATCTGCTGATTAAGATTCCTTCTACGTGACTTTACCGAAAGAACCAATAATATGAATCCCTGCAGTCACGAAAGCTTTAAATCAAAATTCCTCAAGCTGTTTATTTTTTTTTGGCAAACACTTTATCTTTTGCATAACCCCAACGCAGTTCGAACCGCTGTCTAAAATTCTAAGCACGGTTATCAGTGAGCCACTGTGCGTGCATGGTGACAAACGTGGATGGATGGATTCAGCGCAGATGACTTGGACATCCAGATACACAAAATAGTTTTACTTTTATTTCAAAGGCAAATATCTAGAGGAAGTAAACAATTTCAACATTTTAAATATATGAAAGAATGGCTCGAAAATCTAACAGTGAGTTCAAATCAAACATTGACGAAGAAACAGCTGTTTTTTTCAATTCACCATCATTGAAAATATAGTAACAATATTAGTATTTTCCCAGGTAAGGCCTACTAAACTACGTAGCTCTTTTTCAGAAACGACCTGGCTACAAATGATAGCCCAACGAAGTGGCTTCTCATGTGGAACTCTAGAACAGCCACATACTCCAAAAGAATGTTTCTAAATGTGGAGGGAAAAACCGAAGGATCTGGAGAAAAATCCACGCAACCACGGGGAGAGAGACACGCAAACTCAAAAAAGACATGCGTCAGGGCCGGGATCGAACCTACGCTCTCCTGTATACCAAGCGAGGTAGTTAACATCTCGTCACCATGGTACCCAAGAAACATATCCATTGGCATGACAACATCACTTGAGAGCCTTCGAGCTATCAGCTCCGATATGAATGCGAATATTGGACACTGATTTCAGATATGAAACCGATCATTCTATTTGTCCGTCGTAGTAGCTATA